TTTCCATCATCTTTTTGTTATTGCACCCCCCTGTGACTCCCTTTAACTTGCACACACACACATACAATAACTAGATTTTTTGATGATTTTTTCCAATTTTTGGATCTGCTGAAATTTTGAATTAAATTTAAATTTTTTTTTTTTTTAAATTGGCATAAAGCAAGTTATAAACCAAACATTTCCATAACAGCCTCACACCCTGTCAATTATCTTGAGTATAAGCCAAAATTGTAAAGTATAAATGCATGGACCTTTAAATTTGGTAAACAAGCTTGCAAAGTTTTTGTAGCTCAACATGTGCATGCAGGTGTAACTAGCATGAATAGATACCCTGGTAGATCCTTTAAGGTTTGCTGTACGACAAGGTGTTTATTGGTAAATAAGGACAGACAAGTCGGCACTGTAGACGTGACAACCATTTAAGGTTTTATGGTGAGTATTTCTCTTTTTTATAATTTTATAGGTATATTTTTTTCTATAGAACTCTCCTGTTATTTTAATTCAATCTTAGTTGTCAAAAAAAAACTTTAACATTGGTCATATTGACCTTTGAATGAGGAAGGATAAGGTTTTCGTTCAGAGAAACCTGTGTACTTGTTAATTGGACATGCAGATCAGCTTGCTGGGAGATGAATTTTGTGTTGGAATAGACAAAATGTTAGATTGTACAGTGTAGAAAGCATGGAAAAAAAGGAAAATGGGAATTGAACAAAATCAAATGTCGGAATTCAAAGTGTGATGGATTTGCACAGATGTCAGATATTGGACCAGTTTTCAATGTATTTCACATGTACCCGTACATTACCTCACTTTGACAAGACTCTTAAGACCGTCAGTGAAGACTCTTTACCCATTTCTTGTGACCTTGTAAAAGTTCAACTAACATTTGGAAAATTGAAACTTTTGAATCAAGAGAAGTAAGGCTTAATTTTGCATATTTGACATGATCACATGGTTTTTTGACCCTCAGACCTAAATTTTTACCTGCTGTTCGAAAGTTAGTAACCATTGGTGATATTTTTTGAGAATAAGAAAAGCTCATTGATATTGGAATTGTGCATTATATATTATAGGATCTATTCAAACTATGGTTTTGGACTTCTTGACCTTGAACTTTAACCTACAGATTCAAGTTTTGTATTATATATATATTTGACATAACTCGCTCAGATGAGGGTATAAGATCCATGAACATTTGTTAAGTTTGTTTATTGAATCTTATCGTCATACTTATTTACATTTTTAAGGCTGTATTTTAATGTTATAATTCTTTTTTCCATTTCTTTAGTGAAATTTTTAAAGACAATGGATGACTCGGTACGAGGTCAGGAACTTATTGTTTGTTCCAAATGCAAAGAAGATGCTGTAGAATATTTTTGTGTCTCTTGTGAACTTGATCTTTGTCGCAAATGCAAACAGGAACATAACGAAGCATTGGGAACTCGGAGCCATGACATCAGAGTATACAGAGAAAAGTACAGAGAGAGCTTGATAGATGAAAAATGTCAGCTACATCCGCAGTCTGATGAGTATTATAGCCAATATTGCCATGAGTGTGGTGTTCCTGTTTGTAAATTATGTGCACAGAGTCCAAGTCACCATAGTCATACGCTAGATGACCTAAATAGCTTGTATCTTCAATACCGCGAAAAATACAGAGAATGGTATAAGAGAATTCGACTGGAACTCCTTCCTCAAGTTAAAATCGAACAGGATAATATCGAAAAGGATCTGGAAAGGAGGAATAGACAGTTCACAGAAATATTGAAACGTTTAGAAGAACAGGCTAAAAACTTAAAAACTCTCATTGATGAGGTAGTGGCCGAACACAGAAGTTCTATCACAGATCTCCAGAATTCTCAACTCAGCACCCTGCAAAATTCTGGCCAGGAGCTACTCTCGAATGAAAAAAAGTTGAACAATATACTTGAGGGATTTGAAAAATCAGCCAATATGCCTGCAACATTTTTCTTTTATGTGAAAGAAAACCCCATTGTTGAGCTAGAAAGTCTGAATATTAGCAAATTACCAACACCCTATTACAAAGAGGCCAATTTCAACAAAAATGACATTCAAACTTTAATTGGGGTCATTGGAGAGGAAACGCAGAAACAAATTTCACGAACCCCGTCCCGGACCCCATCGATGGAGGCAGAGGCTGTGAACACTGTAACGGAGATGAAGTTAAACATTCCACATATAACTCATGTTCGTCATATTTCCTGTGGAACGTCAGACCGCTTGTGGATCAGTGGAACAGAAGATCTAGTCCTAACAGACATTAAGACTAAAAAGACATTGTACAAATTACCAGTCACTACAGATGGGTATGGCTGTCATTCCGTTAATCGTGAGGGAGCTTTGATTTTCATAGATGGAGCCTCCAATATCAAGAAGCTGTCAGAAGGAAGGGAGGCAGAACTTCTGATGAGAACTACAGAGCCATGGAAACCTATCAGCATTCACTGCTCACACTCTTCAGATACTCTGCTGATAGGGATGATCATTCCATTGAAAAGCGCTAAAGTGGTCTGCTACAACGGAGCAGGTCAGGAAATTCAGACTTTACAAAATGACCACAGAGGAAAACCACTGTATGAAGCCCCAGCATACATCACAGAAAATAACGGTGACGTGATCGTATCAGACTACAAGAGAAGGGCAGTGATAGTGATGGAGAAGACAGGGAAACACTGCTTCTCCTACAGAGGTCCACCATTAGGGTCAACAACAGAGTTATGGCCTCGTGGTGTCTGCACTGATAGTCAGACAAACATCCTCGTGTCAGACTTCTATACACAGATGGTGCACATTGTTGACAACGATGGTCACTTCTTGCGATACTTGCACGTGGACCAAGGATTACGCAAACCTTTTGGTTTATGTTTTGACAGTGAGAAGAATATGGTTGTTGTGGGCTCATATGAAATCAATACAGTCCACTTGTATCATTATCTACAGTGACTTGGAAAATAGATTACTGATTGCATCTGTCTTGATGTATAATGTTTGTGATAAACAGTTAAAGGATGTTCTGTACTAAGTTACTCTGTCAGTACCATTGATGATCTTTTTAAAGCAGGGAGAAAGTCATTGGTTTGAATTTGGAATAAAATTATCATATGAGTGATAGTCGCTTGCTTTTTAAATTTTATATGACATTCAAATATATAACATTTTAAATGTCCTTTTCTATGTTAATGAATGTGAAACAACAATTTTATACTTAAATTTATCTGTAAATCTGTATGTCAATCAATGTTGATCGACTGAAACATATAATATATAAGTCAATCAGTATACCAGATAAATAAATACAATGTAATTCATCAAAGAAAAGAAACCAAATATCTATAGATAAGAATTACTTTACCTCTACTGTTTTTTTTTCTATTTAGAATTATTTCATTAGATTTGAATAATTCACATTTATGTTAACTTTTGGAAATTGACTTAGAGTTAATAACAGGGGCACCACGAATCAGAGCATCCTCTCGCAAGCATTAGAGCATAACTATAAATCAAGGCAGCATTTGACATTAAGGATCCCAATACAAATTATGCTACTTCCATTACGCATACTAACCCTACCACAAACACAAGCCCCTAATAAACCTTACCCTGGTTAATACATGTTTGTAGAGTATACCATATCTTCTCCAATTCCATTGCCAGGGGCAAATAATTTTTAGAAGGGTAAGGTTTAATTGACATGAAATTCGGGAATAATTTTTGTTTATTAATAATATTAGCTTACACATTTTAGAAAATGCTGGATCAAGGGGAAACACTCATATTTCTTAAAGAATGTAGTGATATTATGATTCTTACATATTTTTCATTGAAATAGTGAAATGAAATTCAGTATATACAGATTTATCATAAAAACATCTAGGCCAAGTTCTGTATTGGGTACAATATACTTAAGATAAATCTTTATACCAAAGTTCATTAAGTATGTTCAACTGAATGAAACTGCAAATAACTGGATTTTTCCAAGTCCAAGGGACATAACTCTGTCAAAAATGACTTAATCCTACCCAAAACAGAAATTGGCCTAGATATTCTTATGATAAATCTGTATACCATTTCAGTAAGTGAAGAAAATAAACAGAAACTTGGTGGACCAGTAGACAAACCGACAGACAGAAATCAAGGCAATATGCCCTCTCTTCTTTGAAGGAGGGCATAAATATACCAGTATATACAATTTTTTTTTAATATGGTACGTACTATCCATCCCTTGATTCATCATCCATCCCAATTTTTTTTTTTTTTTAGAGTTTATAGTTACTTGGGAATTGACCAAAAACCTTAACCTTGTCACACAGCTGGAAAATCTAGGTCAGATTTAGCATCCGAAGCATCATCCATGTCTGGTAGTGTCTATCCCTAGATGCACTGAACATGCAAGTTTGATCGAGGTAGAGCTTATAGTTACTTTAAATAGGATGCTGACAGTGGGGGAATAATGGAAGCTCATCTTCACTTAGGACTGAGGAGCAAAAAGAAACATCTGTCTGTTTATATATTTAAATAATCCATATTCATAGGGTCAGATTTGTTCCAACACATCAGCATTAGAGCAATTCCTCCAAATGTTCACTTTTAATCCTCTTTTACAAAATAATATAAATGGTTATGAATGAAATATCAAACCAATTTAAATCTACATTTAATATTCATTCTCAATTTGTAAAATCACTACAAATCTACATAAAAGAATCTTTCAACTTCTTACAAGGTCTTATAATTTTTTTTTAACACTATATTGATCTATTATGATCTGTTCATGTATTGAAGATATTTTCGTCTGTCGTAATTATCCTCAATTTCTTTCTCCACTTTGATTTCTGTTTTTGGTTTCCGTCTTTGCTTTAGGGCAAGCTGTTCTTCAGGTGAAAGTTTTGTAATGTCTATTGGTAGCTGACAAAATAGTAAATAGGTACAACGAGATTAAACAGGTATCAAATGTAAAAGAAGAATGGTTAAAGCATTTTGTCCTTAATCATCACAGGTACTTGTTTTGAAAATAAATTTTGAACCCATGGTATTATAATAACATCCTTGTGTTATACTATATGTTAAAAATTTGTTTCCTGTGGTAATCACTTCTAATGAAAAAAGGAGAATTACTATGCTTAACTACTGTAAACTACATTTCAAAAGAAATTTTTTGACGTTATTAATACATATAATAATTGTTTAAGACATGATTGCACCTTTGTCTTTAATGTAACAAAAGTACATGTAACTTTAGTGTAGTTTCATATTTTTTTTTCTTTTAATAAGTGTTTAAGATATGTAAATCAGACAGAATCTGTAAGTGATTCCCGTTACCTTTATGATTTGTCTGGGCTTGTGGTATCTGATATTTATTGTAGCACCATTCGGGAGAACAAGGATAGTTGGATAAAGACGTTCATAATACTTGCGTTGTATTTTCGAACATGTTGCCTTGTTGCTGACGTGTCTAATACATGCCTGACAAGTGATGAGAATTTCTCTGTACCTAAAATATAGTTAGGGAATTAAAGTGTGTGCTCATTAGGAATTTCACTGTGCTTCATTAAAAAAACAGTGAAAAGAAATGGACAAAACTTTTAAATGCTTTAAAAAAGTGTTCATATATCTACATAATAACTACACTATATCAGCCTTTCTAAAATTCAATGACCACATTATGTATGTTAAAAGTATACTACCTGTCCATAACAGGTCCAGTACAATCACTAGATTTAAATATATAGGTAGAATTACCTACGTAGCTTTATTTACCTACCTCAGGTAGCTTTATTTAACTATTTCAATGAAACTTTTCACAATTTTTCTTTTTATTTAAGAGACAAAAAATTGCAATTAAATGACAATTAATATTTATACTGCGGAGGTTTTAAAAAACAAACCAAAGCAGAGATAGTTTATACATTGCTGCGTTTGGACAATTTGGAGCAAAACATGTAACTCCATTGTTTGGTTAACTGTCCTCTCTATAGGGTGCCGTGAGGCATGACTGAGCATGATTACTTCACATTGTGCTGAATAATTACTGATCTATTATCATGTTAATCAGAACTGGACTTCTTTGGCATTTCATTCAAGGAGTAACTGTTCTAACTGCCATACGTAGATACAAAACTTTCAGAACTTTGATTGCAATTGTGCAGAAAAAGACAATTCTTGAAGAGTGATTTTTACAAAGTTGAAAATGATCACTGCATCAACACGATATTTTCTGCACACCCTGAGAAAAATGATTTTTTATATAAATAAATTGATTTGGTAGCTAAATCTAGTGATTGTACCAGACCTGCTTAATTCATTGTAGCTGCAGATCTGTAGCGTTATGGTTTTATATATTTGTCTTTGACCATAACGCTACAGATCCGGTAATGCAAGAAAGGTGCAATTTACAGCGCAATATTTTTTGCGCACTTTGGGAGAGAATTTCTCAACGTACTAGCATTGCTAAATTAATTACCTTTCACTCCCTAATTCTAGACACATTCTGTAGCCAATATGTATATTTTATCAACCTCCCAACCATTTATAGTTGTCTCCACAGGCAATAAACTCGCTTGAAGTGAATTTTCAGCAATCTAACATACAATTTTAATCAAGCGAGTTTATCACTTGTTGAGACGACTATAAAGGATAGGTAGATGGATAAAATATACAGATAAGTTATATAATGTGCCTAGAATTAAGGAGTGATCGATGCTGGAAAGTGGAGAAATTTTCCCCAAAAGTGTGCAAAAAATATTGCACCGTAAATTGCACCTGTTTTTCATTACGTGATCCGTAGCGTTATGGTCAAAGACAAATATATTACATAAAACCATAACGCTACAGATCTGCAGCTAAATTCATTGTTGGTGATATATTATTATATAAATCTTTAGATGTCAAATAAAAAAAAATATATATATATACATATATATAATGGTGAGTTTCTTATAGTTTTACGTAAAAGAAAAAGAAAAGTCCAATTTTCTAAAATATTTTTTTTTTCATTAAAAAACACCAACATTTCGAATTTACTCTGATATTTCTTACTCCTTTAAGATATTATATATCTCAAAGACATTTTGGCACCTATATGTGATTCTAAAACATTATAGTTAAAAAAATTATTATGAAATCTATACTATTTGATCATCATAACGATTTAAGAAAATAAATAAAAAAACAAACTTCACCTTGTCAAGAGACTTGCCATTTTTTCGGCAGCAACTATTAACTTTTACCGATGAAACTCGTATTAGCTTAGTGAAGTTCACTGAATATGTGTGACCTTACCATTTACCATTTTGTAACAATATTAAACTTATCTTAATCTCTTCAGTGAGTTATTTTTGCTAAACTCAGGTAACTGAGCCTGAATTTCGACAATAAATAATTGTATTAAATGTACGAGCTAATGTATAATATCGCTTACATCAATATTTTTTTTTTCATTATTATAGACAACAAGAAGGAAAAATAGTAAATTTTGCAACACGTGACTAACAAACACGAATTAAGATACAATATCATATACAATTATTCGAAAATATGGATATATACAAAGATAGATAAATATTTTTTGTGCTGATATAAGGGTCATGTGACTGAAGTGAAGTTTTCCAGCAAATTATTTTCATGATTTTTGAGGAAATGGTTACTAGACAAGCACGACGCTACATTTTGAGCAACTCATTATGTTGTACTGTGCTTTGTTTACTTTGTATATGTAAGTAATTTGTTTGAATTTTATGAATCAATGACTGAAAGATACATGATGAACTTTTTGTGTTCATGTTTTGTCTAATTTTATATCTTTGTTTAACTCAGGTATACCTGTTGTATCAACAGAAATTGATGTAGACCAGAATGAGACAAAAGTACTCCTGATGTTCTCCAAATCAGAATTAAAGACAGTGGTGGGCGATGTCAAAGATCTACATTTGACGCTGAAGTATAGTGATTTAAATGTGACATATACATTTGCATTAACGACGTTTATTATACCTCTACTGATTTTCTCTATATAAAAAAATGTTTATTTATAGTCAAGTGAGCTAATCCCCACTCTGCAAGCTAATATCCAGTTATCTGCAATCCTCATTTTTTAACTTAAATTACTTTTGTATTGGTATGATAAATTATTGTTAAAGGGTATATAATTGAGGTAAATTCCAGTTCCCCTCGACCATGCAGGGCTATTTCCTTCGACTTTACCTGAGGAAATAGCCCTGGCCTTTGGGAATTGGACTTTTGCTAACTCCCTCAAAATATATATACTGTATACTTTAACTGCTAATTTAACTTTAACTGTAATTCATTATTCATAAACTGTCAAATGCCCTAACAAGTTATCTTTTGAAAAAAAAAATGTCTTCGTAGATATAGCTAGAAATGTTCTCACAGAAGTACTGAGCATATCAAATTGTCATCAAGAATGCCACCCAAGATTTTCAAGCATTTGAAAGAAACTAATTCCACAAAATAGATTAAATGTGTATATACATTCATAGAGTTGGATTCCCCCTAGTATTATGGGTAAAATTACATACAAATAAATAGTTTCATTCATTTTAATTTTATTATTCCCTTGCATTTTTTACAGTGATACCACTGCTAGCAATGCCACGGTGACCTTTACTTACCAGATAGGGGACACAATCAGCTCTGAGGAGAAGGACCACTACATAGAGCCAGTTCCTGATGTCTTTATTTTAGCCAATCAGACTAGGACGATGTCATTCAACATTACGAGCACTGGTGTGGGCCATTTCAACCTCGGAGTCAACTCATCGTCAAAACAGTTCACTAAGTATATCATACAGTAACAATAGAATAGCTTTAAACACTTAAAAAAAACTTTTGTATGTTGAAAATTAGATTTTGTGTTGCCTGCATAGCATGACAGACACATATTACATAGGGACTACTTGTTCTGGTATTTGTCTGTCCAGTATCTTATCACCTGTTATGGTGAATTCAATTATACAAATGAGTTTTAGGAATAAGACCCTCTTTTTCTGTGGGCCACCTTTCTTTCCAAAAAGAAAAATCCCAAAGAAACAAACAAATACAAAACAAACAAGCAAACAAACAAAGAAAATTACTGTAGGCAGATATTTCTGGACTGATCTGAGTTAATAAATTAAAGTTTAAAATATAATTCTTGCTGTGAAGGTTATATTGAACCTGAGTGTCCTACAATACTACTATTTTAGGAATGAGCCAGATATAAATTTGTACATTATTAATTCTATCTTTGTTTTGTTTTACATGTATATAAATGTCTTGATATATATTGTACTTGTAGATTATCTGAGCAGTTTGTTAGGATCACCATCGTTCATAGCTCAGCTCTGGTTGTGATTAATTCTGTGATTGGCTGGATCTACTTTGTGGCCTGGTCTGTTTCTTTTTATCCCCAGGTGTATGAAAACTGGAGGAGAAAAAGGTTTGTCTAATCACTCAAGTCACATAATTATAAGGAAGGCTTTAATAATGGAGTCATTGAAACTCTGTAAAGCTTGACAGCTGAAATATGTAGATATTTAATGAAAATTTAACTTTTAAAGTTAAAACTAGAATTTCTTTTACCGGTACTTAATAATTTTTGAAAATATTGTTGCAATTTTATCTGAAACTAAGTGTTTGGATATTGGCTTTTAAACACATAAACTCTCCTTACTTACAAAATGTCACACAACTTGTAAGATAAGCATTATGATTCATGTACATCTAACTGGTGACTCTCGTAAACTTAGAATGTAAATTAACTTTGGTTTACAGTGTGGTTGGTCTGAATTTTGACTTCCTTTTGTACAACATCACAGGATTCCTGGCCTACGGCTTCTTCAATGTTGGAATGTACTGGGTCAATGATGTTAAGGTAGGCTAATTTAACATTGTAAAATTTGTGTCTGAAAGTTTTATCAAAATTTGTGATACATAATGATATTAATAAAAATCTTCTCCAACTGTATCTTTATTTCTGATCTTGATTTCTTCCTTTGTCCTTGAATTTAATATTCCTCATTTTGAATTTACCTTTAATACTTTCACTAAATTTGTTCTAAATATTTTTATCAAACTTAATATTATGATACAAACTAGTGTAAGCAATTTGGTTTATATTTTACTGACCTCAATTTCCCTGTGACCTTCATTTTTTTAAATTACCTGTTAGATATCTAAAACTTTAAACAAGAATGCACATAGATTAAAGCAATAATTCAAATGGTACTTCATAAGTTTCTGACTTGACCTCCAGTGTCATAACTTTGTGACCTTGACTTTCTTTATGACTTTGAACTTCACTTTTTCTTAATGTTGTTGTTCCTTTATCTTACTGTTTCTATAAATTCAGAATTATCATGTAGTCTACTGTACAACTGCGAATACTGAATACCTATGTTTCATTTCTTATTTATTTACAGGAGGAATACATGAATAAACATCCAAGGGGAATAAATCCTGTACAGCTGAATGATGTCATTTTTACACTTCATGCTGTGTTCGTGACAACTATAACAATATTTCAGTGTTTTATTTATGATGTAAGTTTGCACCTTTTAAATACTTTTCAGTAAAGATTATTTGGAAAATTTTCACAATTCTTAGGTGACCATAAAGGCTGATGTGCCTGTTATTTTAATAAATTGAAATTTAGAGGATGTGTATCTTGAGGAATAATTCAGATAAACAGCAAGCAAGGTAGTCCATCAGATTTTTAACAATGACTGTTTATAATTATGAAATGATTTTATCTTTGACAGAGAGGGGGTCAGAAGATCTCTAAGATTTGTATTACCCTGGTGTCACTAGCCTGGCTGTTTATTGTGGTGGCATTATTTATTGTTATTTTTGGAGATGACATCATCACCTGGCTACAGTATCTATACTATTTCTCATATGTCAAGCTGGGAGTTACCATTATCAAATACATTCCACAGGTAATAGTTTTATGAATTAGGGTCTGTTTTAATTACATAGGATCACAAAACAGCTCTTCTTCCACACGGAGCAGATATACATGTATTTGTCAAGTTCATAACGTTATTTTTTAAAGGTCTTAGTGGGCGTATATGGCTAGATATGTCAAAAGATATATAAAATGGAGGGCTCTTTCACTTAAAGAGGGATTTCAAACCATTAAAAAATTTTAACACCCAAAATACAGGGGGAATTTAAAAAGTGAATTTTGGCAAATAAAAAAGGGAAATTGAATAAGAAAAAATAGAAGAAATGAACATGCTTATTTAAAAGGTGATCAATCACAAGTGGCAATGGTTAAAAATCAGATAGCATACATCTAATGATAAAATTGGGTGGGGGCATTATAGCAACTTAGCTTAATCAAAATGGTAATTAATATCTTAACATATTCTTTCTCTCAATGAAAAAGTATTTTTAATATATAATAAATAAGTACCTCTCCTGATTACACAGGCCTGGATGAACTGTAAGAGGCAGAGTACACTGGGATGGAGTATTGGGAACGTCCTCCTGGACTTCACTGGAGGCAGCTTCAGTCTTCTACAGATGTTCCTGTTAGCTTACAATAATGGTGAGTAGTCATAGTCAGCTTCAGTCTTCTACAGATGTTTCTGTTAGCTTATAATAATGGTGAGTAGATATAGTCAGCTTCAGTCTTCTACAGATGTTCCTGTTAGCTTATAATAATTGTGAGTAGATATAGTCAGTTTCAGTCTTCTACAGATGTTCCTGTTAGCCTACAATAATGGTGAGTAGATATAGTCAGCTTCAGTCTTCTACAGATGTTCCTGTTAGCTTATAATAATGGTGAGTAGTCATAGTCAGCTTCAGTCTTCTACAGATGTTCCTGTTAGCTTATGATAATGGTGAGTAGTCATAGTCAGCTTCAGTCTTCTACAGATGTTCTTGTTAGCTTATGATAATGGTGAGTAGTCATAGTCAGCTTCAGTCTACTACAGATGTTCCTATTAGCTTATAATAATGGTGAGTAGATATAGTCAGTTTCAGTCTACTACAGATGTTCCTGTTAGCTTATAATAATGGTGAGTAGATATAGTCAGCTTCAGTCTACTACAGACGTTCCTGTTAGCTTATAATAATGGTGAGTAGATATAGTCAGTTTCAGTCTACTACAGATGTTCCTGTTAGCTTATAATAATGGTGAGTAGATATAGTCAGTTTCAGTCTTCTACAGATGCTCCTGTTAGCCTACAATAATGGTGAGTAGATATAGTCAGCTTCAGTCTTCTACAGATGTTCCTGTTAGCTTATGATAATGTAGCTGCAGATCTGTAGCTCTCCGAAAAAATTATTATTGATAGACCGGAGAGCTACAGTGCCACCCATTGAAAAAACTGTATATTCATTGCGCACAAAAAAGTGCGCTCGATTTTTTATTAATTCTTCCAAATTCTTACCTCAATTGCAAAAATGGAAAATTTCGAAAAATTCCTCTCTCCTTTATCAAGTTCTCTAATAGTTGACGTCTGAACGAAGCATATTGGACCGAATTATCTTTGAAACCAAAATGGCAGTATAAACAAGCGAAATGTTCGATGATTGCAATATCAGGGCTAGGAGGACTATTAACAACAATTATGAGGAATGTTTTGTTGTGGAAAGAGTCAAAGAATATGTTAGGAACACACGGTTAGTAATATTTTGAGGTTACAATTTTAAAAACATGGAGAAAAAAATCGAGAACCGAGCGCATTTTTTTGTGCGCAATAAATATACAGTTTTTTCAATGGGTGGCTCTGTAGCTCTCCAGTCTATCAATATATAATTTTTGGAGAGCTACAGATCTGCAGCTAATGATAATGGTGAGTAGTCATAGTCAGCTTCAGTCTTCTACAGATGTTCCTGTTAGCTTACAATAATGGTGAGTAGTCATAGTCATAGTCAGCTGCAGTCTTCTACAGATGTTTCTGTTAGCTTACAATAATGGTGAGTAGATATAGTCAGCTTCAGTCTTCTACAGATGTTCCTGTTGGCTTACAATAATGGTGAGTAGATATAGTCAGCTTCAGTCTTCTACAGATGTTCCTGTTAGCTTACAATAATGGTGAGTAGTTATAGTCAGCTTCAGTCTTCTACAGATTTTCCTGTTAGCTTACAATAATGGTGAGTAGATATAGTCAGCTTCAGTCTTCTACAGATGTTCCTGTTAGCTTATAATAATGGTGAGTAGATATAGTCAGCTTCAGTCTTCTACAGATTTTCCTGTTA